GCCTTCCTCCACACACCCTCGCGCTAGCTGCACCCCCAACCATCATCAGTCATATACGCAATCCACGCCAGACGAACCAAACTGACCAGCCAGACTGACCAGACAAGCAACATCAGCCAGACCAGCAAGATCAGCAATCTCAGCAATCCCAGCCAAACCCAGCCAGGCCAATCAACCAAATAAGTGAGAACAAACATGGTAGTCACACCAACAATGGCAGCCAGAATAAGCCAGACGAACCACACGCACCAGCCAGGCCAACCAACCACGCCATCCAGACCAAGCAGCTCAGACCAACCATACCATATCAAACCAAACCAAACCTGACCAAACCTGACCACACCGACCACACCAACCAACCGCTGCACGGCCAGCACCATAACGGCCTCTCCAACAACGGCCCTCGGTGGTGTCGAGAATATGCCGCGCCTGCCATGCCCTGCGTCATGGCCCGCATAGACGCCGCGCTCGGGGACCTTTCCCTGCGCACCCCCGGTGGTGTCGAGAAAGTGCCATGCCTGCCACGCCCTGCGCCATGGCCCGCATAGACGCCGCGCTCGGAGACCACCCCCTGCGGACCCCCTACGAAGTCGAGAAAGTGCAACACCTGCCACGCCCTGCGCCATGGCCCGCATAGACGCCGCGCTCGGAGACCACCCCCTGCGGACCCCCTACGAAGTCGAGAAAGTGCAACACCTGCCACGCCCTGCGCCATGGCCCGCATAGACGCCGCGCTCGGAGACCACCCCCTGCGGACCCCCTACGAAGTCGAGAAAGTGCAACACCTGCCACGCCCTGCGCCATGGCCCGCATAGACGCCGCGCTCGGAGACCACCCCCTGCGGACCCCCTACGAAGTCGAGAAAGTGCAACACCTGCCACGCCCTGCGCCATGGCCCGCATAGACGCCGCGCTCGGAGACCACCCCCTGCGCACCCCCTACGTGGTCGAGAAAGTGCCACACCTGCCACGCCCTGCGCCATGGCCCGCATAGACGCCGCGCCCGGGGACCAACCTCCAGCGCACCCCCCTACGAGGTCGAGAAAGTGCCACACCTGCCACGCCCTGCGCCATGGCCCGCATAGACGCCGCGCTCGGAGACCACCCCCTGCGCACCCCCCTACGAGGTCGAAAAAGTGCCACACCTGCCACGCCCTGCGCCATGGCCCGCATAGACGCCGCGCTCGGAAACCACCCCTCTGCGCACCCCCCTACGAGGTCGAGAAAATGCCACACCTGCCACGCCCAGCGCCATGGACCGCAGAGACGCCGCGCTCGGAGGCCACCCCCTGCGCACCCCCGCATAGACGCCGCGCTCGGAGACCACCCCCTGCGGACCCCCTACGAAGTCGAGAAAGTGCAACACCTGCCACGCCCTGCGCCATGGCCCGCATAGACGCCGCGCTCGGAGACCACCCCCTGCGGACCCCCTACGAAGTCGAGAAAGTGCAACACCTGCCACGCCCTGCGCCATGGCCCGCATAGACGCCGCGCTCGGAGACCACCCCCTGCGCACACCCCTACGAGGTCGAGAAAGTGCCACACCTGCCACGCCCTGCGCCATGGCCCGCATAGACGCCGCGCTCGGAGACCACCCCCTGCGCACACCTACGAGGTCGAGAAAGTGCCACACCTGCCACGCCCTGCGCCATGGCCCGCACAGACGCCGCGCTCGGAGACCACCCCCTGCGCACCCCCTACGGGGTCGAGAAAGTGCCACACCTGCCACGCCCTGCGCTATGGCCCGCATAGACGCCGCGCTCGGGGACCACCCCCTGCGCACCCCCTACGAGGTCGAGAAAGTGCCACACCTGCCACGCCCTGCGCCATGGCCCGCATAGACGCCGCGCTCGGGGACCACCCCCTGCGCACCCCCTACAGGTCGAGAAAGTGCCACACTTGCCACGCCCTGCGCCATGGCCCGCATAGACGCCGCGCCGGGACCACCCCCTGCGCACCCCCTACGAGTCGAGAAAGTGCCACACCTGCCACGCCCTGCGCCATGGCCCGCATAGACGCCGCGCTCGGGGACCACCCCTGCGCCCCCCCTACGAGATCGAGCAAGTGCCACGCTGCCACGCCCTGCGCCATGGCCCGCATAGACGCCGCGCTCGGGGACCACCCCCTGCACACCCCTACGAGGTCGAGAAAGTGCCACACCTTCCACGCCCTGCGTCATGGCCCGCATAGACGCTGCGTTCGGAGACCACCCCCTGCGCACCTCATGCGAGGTCGAGAAAGTGCCACACCTGCCACGCCCTGCGCCATGGCCCGCACAGACGCCGCGCTCGGAGACCACCCCCTGCGCACCCCCTACGAGGTCGAGAAAGTGCCACACCTGCCACGCCCTGCGCCATGGCCCGCATAGACGCCGCGCTCGGAGACCACCCCCTGCGCACCCCCTACGGGGTGAGGAAAGTGCCACACCTGCCACGCCCTGCGCCATGGCCCGCATAGACGCCGCGCTCGGAGACCACCCCCTGCGCACCCCCTACGAGGTCGAGAAAGTGCCACACCTGCCACGCCCTGCGCCATGGCCCGCATAGACGCCGCGCTCGGAGACCACCCCCTGCGCACCCCCTACGAGGTCGAGAAAGTGCCACACCTGCCACGCCCTGCGCCATGGCCCGCATAGACGCCGCGCTCGGAGACCACCCCCTGCGCACCCCCTACGAGGTCGAGAAAGTGCCACACCTGCCACGCCCTGCGCCATGGCCCGCATAGACGCCGCGCTCGGAGACCACCCCCTGCGCACCCCCTACGGGGTGAGGAGAGTGCCACACCTGCCACGCCCTGCGCCATGGCCCGCATAGACGCCGCGCTCGGAGACCACCCCCTGCGCACCCCCTACAAGATCGAGAAAGTGCCACACTTGCCACGCCCTGCGCCATGGCCCGCATAGACGCCGCGCTCGGTGACCACCCCCAGCGCACCCCCTACGAGGTCGAGAAAGTGCCACACCTGCCACGCCCTGCGCCATGGCCCGCATAGACGCCGCGCTCGGAGACCACCCCCAGCGCACCCCCATACGAGGTCGAGAAAGTGCCACACCTGCCACGCCCTGCGCCATGGCCCGCAGAGACGCCGCGCTCGGGGACCACCCCCTGTGCACCCCCTACGAGGTCGAGAAAGTGCCACACCTGCCACGCCCTGCGCCATGGCCCGCACAGACGCCGCGCTCGGAGACCCCCCCCTGCGCACCCCCTACGGGGTGAGGAAAGTGCCACGCCTGCCAAGCCCTGCGCCATGGCCCGCATAGACGCCGCGCTCGGAGACCACCCCCTGCGCACCCCCTACGAGCGCGTCGCGGCCCTCGCTGAGCTGTATGCTGTGCTGAGCTGTGCTGTGCTGTGCTGCGCTGCTCATGTGTGTACGTGTGTGCTTGTGTTGTGCTGTGCTGCGCTGCGCTGTGCTGTGCTGCGCTGTGCTGTGCTGCGCTGTGCTGTGATGTGCAGCTGTGTTGTGCTGACCTGTGCTGTGCTGCGCTGTGCTGTGCTGCGCTGTGCTGTGATGTGCAGCTGTGTGCTGTGCTGTGCTGTGTGCTGTGCTGTGCTGAGGGAGGTGAGTGAGTGAGTGAGCGTCGCGGGCGGGACGCGGCAGGGAAGAAAACCAGAACAACACGAAAGATGTGGGGAAAACCAGAAGGAGGTGGAAGACGCGGGTGCGGCGCGGGTTGAAGAAAACAAGAGCCCCACTAAGCATGTGGGGAAAAACCAGAAACCCACGAAACATGTGGGGGAAATAGTCCAAACATAGTCTGGGGACTATTGTTCCAGTATTTTTTTACCTTGTTGGGGCATGTTTGTGGTATTTTGTTTCGTCGAAAATCCCCCTGTAGGGGGGCAGGCCCGACAGAACTTTACGACTCCAGCAGCAGATCCCCGCCGGCTGCCGGCTGCCCCCAGAGACCCTCAGGGTCCCGAAGAGGGCCAGCCACCAGGCACTGCCAGAGGCCTGTATTCCTCGGCGGCCACAGCGCCGCGCCGCCGCCGCCGTCCTCTGCCTCTCCTCCTCCTCCTCCTCCTCCTCCTCCTCCTCCTCCTTCCACTCCTCCTCCTCCCACTCCTCCCCGTCTCTTCCTCGCCCTCGCCGTCGCCCTCCTCTGCCGCCGAGGGCGGCGAGGAGTCCAGGGCTGCTCCTGTGCTCTGTGGCCCACATGGAGGCTCAGGACGACGGCGAGGGCGAGGAGGAGTCCTCAGGTGCGACGGTGGGGGGGGGGACTGGCTCAGGGGGGGAAGCGCCAAGCTCCAACGGGCGATACATCGCAAATGGGTCGGCTCGCCCTCGCCGCCGCCCTCGTCCTCCTCACGGGGGGGGGGCATACCGATACCGCCGCTCCCCAGACCTCTCCAGGGGTGCACTCCGACCAGAATCTTGACGCGCACCCAGTGGCGACGAGGGAAGGGCAGTGGCATCGGGGCACCCCGCCCTCCGCTGATCCGCCTCCCCCTCCTCGCCCTCGCCCTCGCCGCAGACCCGCGAACCGACGGCGGCGCGCCTGAGCCGAACCGAGCAGGTCCGACGGTGGCGCCGCGGCGTCCACGACGGGCGGCGCCCTCCTCTGCCGCCGGGGGGGGGGGGTCGAGGAGTCCAGGGCTGCTCCTCCGCTCTGCGGGCCACTCGTGGAGGCCCAGGACGGCGGCGAGGGCGATCAGGAGTCCCGAGGTGCAGCGGCACAGCCAACCCGCACAACAAAAGAGGGCGCACCACGAGGATGCAAGGGCCCTGGGCGGCCATGCCGACACTTTGCGGGCGGGGCGCGGCCAGCGAAAGCGGCCAAGGATGGTCTGAACGGGGAAGGATGCAAGGGTAACCATGGAACGCCGTTCACCCTTACTATGCTGGTTGACAGTGGGGGGGGGTCAGGGGGGGGGGACATCGAGCTCCAATCGTCGATATATAGTCGACATGTTTGCACGCAGGCTCCCGATCGCGAATACGCACATTCCTGGGCTGGCTGAGCCTATCGGGCCAAATGTATCGGCGAGGACTGGACGATGGGAGGTCGATGCCTTCTTCCCTGAGCCAACCGCCCCCTTAAGTTAACTCGGCGACTCGAAAAGGTGTGGTTTGCAAAGGGCGTGGTTTGCAATCGGCGCCCTGGGGATTCTCCCGGGTGGCACCCCAGGGGGGGGGGGGGGCGCGGGGACCTCGAGAGATGTCCCCCGCGCCCCGAGGAGGCCCGACGAGGACGGCGTCGTGCCCCCCTGGCCCCAACGGTGCCGACCGCAAGCCACACCCTGGCGCAACCATACCCTGTACTCGCCGATCCACGTTGCCTCTGACCTGCCGCGCCCTGGTTTCCAGGCCCTACCTCGGGCCGGCCGGCGGCCGTGCGCGGGACGACCCCCGGCACCCCCGGAACGCACTCGACGAGAGGCGCGGCTGCTGGAGACCACCCCCGCGGGCCGGCAGCTCGCCGACCGCCGGCGCGCACATCCGAGAGCCTCGATCCTCGCAGCTGCTCGCCCTGGCCGTCGCCCTGAGCCCACGGCGGCGGCGAGCCGAGCCGGGCCGAGCCGAGCTGAACCGACGGCGCCGAGCCGAGCCGGGCCGAGCACGGTCCGATGGCGGCGCCGCGGCCGCCCACGACGGGCGGAGCGCCGGCCTGCCGGGTGCGCCCGCGCCGCGGGAGAACTCGCACGCGGCGTTCACAACGTAAGCGGCGACGGCCGCGAACTGCACGGCGTACCACCAGGCGACGCCTCTGCGGGCGGGAGGGAGGGATTTCCGAACACCGACGCAAGTCTACCATCGTACCCCAAACGGACGTGTAAGACTCCGTGCTAGTCGGGGACGTCTGAATGTTCGACGCGCCGTGTTCCACGGCTCTCCTCGAAGCGAAGCTGTGCACGCTGGCGCCCAAGACCAACGCCAAAATCCACGCCATCCAAATCCGATTGTCCCATTCGAATCCACCGAAAAGTCCTTCCGCGAGGGAACACCTGGCAAACAGTGCTAATCTTGGAATGCCTGCTGCGCCTACCACAGCACGAATTAACGGGACAACGAAATCATCCTAAACGTACACTTGCGACTGTACAGGCCGCGGCGCAAATTCATGACTAGTGGCGAGCCGTCAGAGCACTGCACACTCAGAACTCGATGCTGGGGCCTGACCGCCTCACTGAAATCGGCCCCTCCTGCACCGCGGCACCTGCCGCCTGGGGGTTCAGACTCCGGGCGGCAGCCTTCAAAACGCATTCGCGGACATGGGCAACTCGCCGACGTGGGCGACCATCTGAGTTGCGACCTTGCGGCTGCACTGGACGGCGTCGTCGATCTCCTGGGGCCCCGTTGACCAGATTCGGTCGCAACGTGGCCGCGTCGGAAACAGCGGGCGGCGAGATGCGCGCAGCTGTGCTATGTTGCGCAGCAGATGCTTCAAACCGGTCTCGCATCTCAACTGCATGGTGCTGCGGTGTAACTGACGGGGATGCCAGGTCGCTCGCGTTGCGACGGCGCCCATTGGAGGGGGCGCGGCCGCGAGCGCCCTGCGCGGCCGCGCTGCAGCGGTCGACCGGGCGAAATCCACGACGATTGAACCTGGGGCTCGCGGCGCGGGGTCGAAAGACAGAGGCGGGGCAGGCGCGGCCGGAGCCGCGCTCGGGAATCGTTCGTCGCGGCTCAGTGGCCCCCCGCCTGGCCCGCTGCGCGAGGCGGGCGATCCTCGCGCTCAGTGGCGGCAACTGTCTGCGCCCGCTCCAACGTCGTCGGAAGACCCAGGGGAACTGGGCGCCCCTGAGATGCGCATCCGACAGTGGGCACGTCGCTTGCAGGACCCCACCCCCGCAAGCTCTGAGCGGCAAGGCCGAGGGCCCCTGGGGACCGCGTGCTCTGGGCGTCGGGCGGCCCACGGGAGTCAGCGCCCGCGGGGGGCCCCACCCGCAAGCGGCGCGCGCCCCAGGAGAGGCCCTGCGGCTGGGACCCGCAAGGGCCCCCGCAATCGGCGGCCCCTGCAGCGGGAGTGGCGCGCAAGCTCGGGCCGCCGATGGCATCGCGAGTAGGTGCCGCGCCGATCAAGTTCGCAGACATATCGGAAGTCTCAGGGGCATGGGAACAATGACTGCGCCATTCCTGCCAGAGCCCCGAACCCCCTCGAGGCCTTCAACCCGCGACGCAGAGGAGATCGCCAGCGCCCGGCGCGCCCGCGCGAGGCAGGGCGGCCGCCGTCGGGGCGGAGTGGCCACCCGCCCCGCGCGAGAGCTGCCGCGCGCGAGAGATTAAAACATAGAAAGTTGATAACCTGCGCGAAGGAAGGGGCGACCGAAGGGCCGATCCCCTCCCGAGCATCCGTCGGCGTAAGCGGTTGCGACGAATGCATCAGGGTTGCGCCCTCCTCCGCCAAGTGCCCCAGTCAGCGGGGCACCTGCTGCCTCGCCGCGCCTTGCGAGCCGAGTGGGTCCGCGGCGCTGTGGAAGAGGAGAAACGCGGGGCCCAATCCCAGGCCATGGGCGAGCGCGGCCGCAAGCGCGCGGCCCCGACCCTCCGAATCCCCGCTGTCACGGAGATCCCCTAATTATACGCCAGGCTGTTCAGCGGCGCAGATGAATACGTGGGCAGCGGTGAGCCTACCAGACGCCCCGCAGAAGACCCGGCGCAATCTCTGCCGCCGCGTCAATACCTGAAGGGTTTGTAGGATCTGTATCGCCACGATGGCTTCGGCCTCCGATCCAAGCCAGAACAGCGATATTGGAGCCCGCGGCAGCACGCAGGGAAAGCGCGATAGTAGCACCATGGGCAAAAGGCGAATGCGCGCGAAAACTTGCACCCAAGTGTACGCCGTCGGCGCGCTCGCCATCAGTTGAGCAGGGACCGACTGTCCCGGCATTCCTATAGGCCTACCACCCTATGTTCTTAGAACCCATTATGTTCTAGGGACCAAAACAATGTTCTTAGAACGTAAACCCGGTGTGCTAAACAAGACAGTCCCAGCCAGGAATGTCCTAGAAGCATTTCGTGGAAACCACAGAAGGTTCTTAAAACATTGCTTGGTAGGCCTATAGGGTAGCTAGAACACTTCGCCACTGCTTGGATCAGGGCAGAGCTGGACCCCCACCGCGCGAGTTGTCGCATGCACGAAAGACTCGATAACAAAACAGGTGATAAGCTGTGTGAGGCATCCGCTGTCCGAGGAGCCCGTCCCCTCCCGAGTAGCAGTCCGTCGGTGAGCACGGTACGATGACTGGATGACGCTGCGGAAGGTTTTTATACTTCTTCGCATGTCCTCCAGTCAGTGCGATACCTGCTGTTGACTGCACCTTGCGGGCCGAAAGGGGCAGCGGCACTGGGAAAAGAAGACGAACGGTACAGCAAAGAGGAGGAGAGATGAAGGAAACGCTGTGAGCAACGCCAGCAAGCGACATGGCTCGCAGCGGGCCAGGACGGAAGGGAAAAACAAGCCATTGCCCTGAAGAACCGCCGCCGCCTTGAGACTAGTGTGAGTTGCCGGCCGTCCCCCACCTGTCCTAACCATGATGTTTGCAAGTGCTCCAGCCGACCAGGTTTTTGCGGCAGCCGCAAGCGACACAAAGGACAACGCCAGCCTCGAAGACTCATCATCCTGAGACTGCTCGCAGAGACAATCACGATCCCCATGCGGCAAAGAGCGACTGCGGTTCCAAGGAGCACTGGGCGGTTGGACTCACTCGATGGTGTACCACTGCGTCTCAGCCTGCTTCGCCCAGCCATTGCCGAGCATGACGGGGTTCAGGGAGGGCGATGCGAACGAGTGGGCTGTGCCACTTGACCCGCACACGCAGGGCTGTTCTGAAGTTCGCGTGTGCAACACTAGATATATTGCTCGAGCGCAGAACAGCTCTTGAGCCTAAATGGCCTGAGCCAGAATGACTACGCAAGGGTGAAGGAAAGGAGGGAGGAGGAGGGAGGAGGAACTCCGACGTCGTGACTTTTTCCCAACCATCCTGTGGTGTTGGGTCCTCGTTTTGAAGAGACGTCGCCCCGCGTTCCTCCTTCCTCCTCCTTCCTCCTCCTCCTCCCATTCCTCCCCCCTCCTCCCCCTCCCACACCCATTCTGGCACACCCCTCACACGTTTCGTGGCCCCATAGGGAGCTCCACCGAAGGCCCCAGTGGCTGCGCCCGCATGCGGTTCCACCCCCCATTCTGGCACACCCCTCACACGTTTCGTGGCCCCATAGGGAGCTCCACCGAAGGCCCCAGTGGCTGCGCCCGCATGCGGTTCCACCCCCCATTCTGGCACACCCCTCACACGTTTCGTGGCCCCATAGGGAGCTCCACCGAAGGCCCCAGTGGCTGCGCCCGCATGCGGTTCCACCCATTCTCACACGTTTCGTGGCCCCACTCCACCCCCAGTGGCTGCGCCCGCATGCACGGCACACCCCTCACACGTTTCGTGGCCCCATAGGGAGCTCCACCGAAGGCCCCAGTGGCTGCGCCCGCATGCGGTTCCACCCCCCATTCTGGCACACCCCTCACACGTTTCGTGGCCCCATAGGGAGCTCCACCGAAGGCCCCAGTGGCTGCGCCCGCATGCGGTTCCACCCCCCATTCTGGCACACCCCTCACACGTTTCGTGGCCCCATAGGGAGCTCCACCGAAGGCCCCAGTGGCTGCGCCCGCATGCGGTTCCACCCCCCATTCTGGCACACCCCTCACACGTTTCGTGGCCCCATAGGGAGCTCCACCGAAGGCCCCAGTGGCTGCGCCCGCATGCGGTTCCACCCCCCATTCTGGCACACCCCTCACACGTTTCGTGGCCCCATAGGGAGCTCCACCGAAGGCCCCAGTGGCTGCGCCCGCATGCGGTTCCACCCCCCATTCTGGCACACCCCTCACGTTTCGTGGCCCCATAGGGAGCTCCACCGAAGGCCCCAGTGGCTGCGCCCGCATGCGGTTCCACCCCCATTCTGGCACACCCCTCACACGTTTCGTGGCCCCATAGGGAGCTCCACCGAAGGCCCCAGTGGCTGCGCCCGCATGCGGTTCCACCCCCCATTCTGGCACACCCCTCACACGTTTCGTGGCCCCATAGGGAGCTCCACCGAAGGCCCCAGTGGCTGCGCCCGCATGCGGTTCCACCCCCCATTCTGGCACACCCCTCACACGTTTCGTGGCCCCATAGGGAGCTCCACCGAAGGCCCCAGTGGCTGCGCCCGCATGCGGTTCCACCCCCCATTCTGGCACACCCCTCACACGTTTCGTGGCCCCATAGGGAGCTCCACCGAAGGCCCCAGTGGCTGCGCCCGCATGCGGTTCCACCCCCCATTCTGGCACACCCCTCACACGTTCGTGGCCCCATAGGGAGCTCCACCGAAGGCCCCAGTGGCTGCGCTGGCATGCGGTTCCACACCCCATTCTGGCACACCCCTCGCACGTTTCGTGGCCCCATAGGGGGCTCCACCAAAGGTCCCAGTGGCACTGCCCGCTTGCGTCCGCCACCACCCAGCACAGCCCTTGTTCCCTGCGCTTCACCCACCCAGAACAGCGCTTCGTAGCCCTATAGGGAGCTCCACCAAAGGTCCCAGCGGCACCGCCCGCATGCGTCCGCCACCACCCTGCGCAGCCCTTGCTCCCTGCCTGCGTTTCACCCACCCAGTACAGCGTTTCGTGGCCCCATAGGGAGCTCCACCGAAGGTCCCAGTGGCACCGCTCGCATGCGTCCGCCACCACGCAGCACAGCCCTTGCTGACCGCGTCTCACCCACCCAGTACAGCGTTTCGTGGCCCCATAGGGAGCTCCACCGAAGGTCCCAGTGGCACCGCCCGCATGCGTCCGCCACCACCCAGCACAATTGCGGCATTCACAACTGCATATGGTTGGGTCCTTCGCCAGGCTAATTTTGCTGGAGGGGACGGCATACCACCAGGCGGCGCATCTGCGGGCGGGAGGTACTCGGAAGGAGGGAGGGACCCTGAGATCCTGGCGTCTCAATGTTTACGAGCCGGGCATTTTCGTCGTGGTCACCGCCGTCCTCATCGGTCGTCCTGGCCCTCCCCTCTTCGCTGAAAGTCAGACCCTGGACCCCTCCCAGGGTCCGTCCTGGCAATCTGCTCATCTTGGATCGGTCTGTGACAGCCACGTGGCCCCAAGCGGGCCTCGAGACGCCGAACAATGACGAAACAATGAAGGCGCCCAGGGCCACACACACAAATGAATCGAAACATATCCCAGGAATCCTCCCAATATGTTTCATATTTCATGGATGTTCGTCTTCCCCTCCGCTTCCCATCTTTCCCACATTTTCCTGCGAATCGACGAATACTTGCGCTTGTGCTTTTCTCCCTCCTGAACAAATGCATCGCCACGCCCACTTCCCCTCGAGAACGTCGTCGCTCGCCTCCACTCTGCCAAATCGACCCCAACATCTTTCCAGGGACTCGTCCTGGCCAGCGCTTCGAGGGGAATCCGGCCTGGCCGCCCCCAGAACACAAGCAGCGACTCGCCCTGGAGCCCTCGATCCTCGACCTCGCCGTCCTCCTCCCCGTCTTCTCCGGCGTCGGTCGGAGGCCCGTCGTCGTCGTCGGCGGGGGCGTCGTCGATCGTCGTCGTCGTCGGCGGCCATGGCGCCCGGGGACGGTGTCGGAGCGTCTCTGCTACACCCCCTGTGTCCCTGCGTGAGGGGTGCGGATGCGCAATACCTCGCTGACCGAAGCCGTGCCTTGGATGCCCGTGCGGGGTCCATCTTGACCCGCACACAGGGGACCAGGAGGAGGAAGAGGAGGAGAACCAAGACGAGGAGAAGGTGCTCCCTTCCCCCCGTGCAGCACCACGACGATGATTGACGAACGACGACTGACGACCGACGAACGAAGACAACGACGAGCGACAAACGACCATCTACGAACCACGCTGGCGACAACAACAATAACGACGTCGATGTCGTCACTCGTCGGCGACCACGGCATCGTCGTACATTGTCGACGTTCGGCAGCAGACCGACGCACCACGTCGACGACGAACGACCAACGACGAGCGACTACGAATGACTGACGAGCGAATCACGAACGACCACGTAGTGCGTCGGTCGCCGTCGCGACGTCGACGTTCATCGTCGTCGCCCGTCGTTGGCCGCCTCCGACGCCCATGCCGTTGTCTTACCGCCGCCGCCTCCGCCGACGACGCCCGCCGCTCGTCTGGCCGCTTGCTTGCACGGACGGTCCGCCCCAGACATGCGCTGTCTTGCTTCTTTCTTGGCGGCGCGCAGGGGGGTGGTAGGGGGAGAGAAGAAGGCTTCTTAGAGGCAGGGTGCTCCCAAAAAGCCTCCCCCCCCTCCAACTACCCCCCTCTGCGCGTGGCTGACTTTCCACGCGGGGTCCCCGGAAAGTCCTGGCCCTTTCCCCAGGCTTCTTCGGGCGGCCCTAGGGCCCAGCGAGGGCCCCGCGGAGCCGAACACGGACAGAAACCAGCCCTGAGATCCTACGGCGGGAAAAAGTCGAAACATCGCGGACAATCACGACCGGAGCCCGACAGGCCCTGGACCCCCTCTTTCTGCGCCGCGCGTCGAGCCACGTCGAGCCGCACCGATCTGCGAGGGCCCCGGGACCCGAAACTAGGCGAGGACGCCTGGACAGGATCTCAGGCTCCCGTCGCGACCTTTTCCCACCGCGGGCACGTCTGGGACCGCCGCCGCGGCCGCGGGGCGGCGCTGCGCTCCGCGAGGCGGCGCGGCCGGCCGCCGTGCGCGCGCGGGGCGCGCGCTCTGCCGCGGCCTGGGCGCCACCGCAGCCGGCGCAGGACGAGCCGGTCGGCCAGGCCCACCGCGGCCAGGCCTGCGGCGGGGGCGCCGCCGCCACCATCGGCGGCGAGTCGCCCGCCGCTGGCGGCTGCCGGCGAGGGCGGCGGCGGCGGCGAGGGCGGCGGCGGCGGCAAGGACGAGGGCGGCGGCGGCGAGGCTGGCGGTGGCGAGGAGGGCGGCGGTGGAGAGGAGGGCGGCGAGGGGGAGGAGGGGAGGAAAAGGAGGATGATTCACGAGGACGAGGGCGCCGACGGCGGCGGTGTCGGCGTCGTCGCCGTCGGCGTCGTGGCCGCCACCCGGTTGGTGAGCCGTCTTCGTCTCGGCCCCTCTGCCCCGCTGACTGCACGGGGGCGGGCGGCGGGGAGCCACCGCGCGGGTGGTCGGCGAGGGCGCCGCCTGCGTGCACAGACCAGAGCGCCAGCACGGGCACGTTGGACTCCACGTACCACGCCAGGGGCAGAACCGCCTGGGCCAAGGCCGTGGGCGACGACGTCGCCGGCGCCGGGAGACGCCGTCGGACGCCAACGACGCCGACGGCACCGATTGCGCTGCCGCCGCCGCAGCCGCCACCGCTGACAGACCCAACGCCGATGACGCCGACGGCGCCGGCGACGACCCCGCCGACGCCGACAGACGCCGAGGTTCCCTGCGACGACGCCGACGGCGGAGGCGTCGACGGACAAACCGGCGGCGCGCCGCCAAGGGGGGTAAGAGGACGACGACGTTCTCGAAGAGGGGGGAAGAGAAGAGTGGAGAAGGGGAAATGAGGAGGGAAGAGGGAGGGAGGGAAGAGGAGGGGACGATAGGGTACTGGAAGCATCGGCAGTTAGTAAACGGGGCTCAAGTTCGCAAGGTCGACGGGCCTCAAGCAATGCATATTCCAAGTTTAAGCTGGAACCCCCTCCTCTCGCACCTTTGAACCGCCCAAAGGAGGAAGGAGGTTCGACCCTGCCCGAGGAACGTCGTGACGATTTGAAGACAAGGGGCAAATGAGCGGGGCCCAAGGAAACCGACACTCGCCGCGCTCTAGCCTGGGACACGAGAGACCCAACGCGCTGGGCCGCTACCAGCGACGAAAATGGAGGAAGGGTGGAGGAAGAGAAAGAGGAGGGAGGGAGGGAGCAATAGGAGGCAGGACGGAGGGATGCAGGAGGGAAGGACGAGGGGGGAGGAGGAGGCGCCTTGTCTGGGATAAGATCGACGACTGGGAAGGACATGACCAGCTGTCCTTACGAAGTGTCAGGGGTCAAGGATCACTGAGCAAGGCTTGACCACGGCTCTTGAGAAAGCTGGCAATGCTGAAGCTGACGATTGGGCCCAGCGGACTGCTGGCCCAACTCGAGTGTCTCAGGAAGTTCGTGATTCGCGCAGAGCCAGTGCAACTACTTTGGCTGGCTATGGGAGGTTAATGACAGAGGTGGGCACCAGGCTTCGATTTCGACTGCGAAAGAATGCCGATGTCTTAAAGAATAAGGCGACACCGTCCTCCAGCTCCCGTTGTCGCCCCACCCCTCCAACTTCCACTCCCAGGGCTCTGGTGCGTGCACACCTCGCGCACGTGCGCGTTGCCGCCTCCAGAGGCCGCTCCTGTGCTGCTCCCTGGGCCGGGAGGCTGCGAACTGCGCGCCCGTCGCCACTTCCCTGGGGTGGGGCCGCGAGTTGGCAGCTGGCGCCACCTTCGCGAGCGCACGGGAGGTACGGCGGAAGTGGGAAGTCAACGGATCCAGACTTGACCTCGCAGCTCCCTTGGGGGCTGCGGACTGTGCAACTGTCGACACTTTCGTGAGCTTCTGGGAGGCACTGCGGAGTAGGAGAGTAAACGGATCGAGACTAGACCTCGCAGCCCCCTGGGTGGCTGCGAACTGCGCAACTGTCGCCATGTTCGCAAGTTCCTGGGAGGCACGGCGGGGTAGAGGAGTTCGCGGGCCCAGACTAGACCACGCAGCTCCCTGGGTGTGGTGGCTGCATGCTGCGAAACTGTCGCCACGTTCGTGAGCTCCTGGGAAGCACGGCGGAGTAAGGTATAAACGGATCCAGACTAGACCTGACGGCTCCCTGGCGGGGGGCGCAAACTGTGCAACTGGGGCCAATCTCGTTGGTTTCCAAACGGCAGGGCGGAGTTGGGGAATAAACGGATCCAGCCGAGACCTCGCAGCCCCCTGGGTGGCTGCAAAAGTCCCAACTGTCACCACGTTCGTGAGCTCCTGGGGAGGACCAGCGAAGTCGGGGGACACGCGGATCTATTTGAGACCTCGCAACTCCCTGGGTGGTTGCGAAATTCGCAACTGGTTCCGCTTTCGTAAGCTCCTGGGAGTTCCAACGGAGTCGGGGAGTAAACTGATCCATCCGAGACTTCGTAACTCCCTGGGGGTGTTGGGGCTGCGAACTGCGCAACTGTCACCAGTTTCGTGTGCCCCTGGGAGGCACGGCGGCATTGGGGAGTAAACATGTTCAACGGAGCTGGCGCCATTGTCGTGGGCTCCTGGGGGGCATGGCGGAATCGGGGAGCAAACGGATCCAATCGAGACCTCGCAGCTCCATGGGTGGCTGCGAACTGCGCAGCTGTCGCCGCGTTCGTGGGCTCCAAGGAGGTCCAGCGGGGTGGGTGGAATACGCGCGCCCAACCAAAACCGTGCACCTCCCTGTGTGGCTGCGCTCTGCGCATCTGTCGCCACGTTCGCAAGCTGCTGGGAGTACCGCGGGGTAGAGGAGTTCGCGGGCCCAGACGAAGCCTCGCTGCTCCCTGTGTGACTGCGAACTGTGCATTCATCGCCTCTGTTATGGGCCCCTGGAAGATCCAGCGCAGTCGTGGGCCACGTGCACCCAGCCGAGACCTCGCTGCTCCCTGGGGCCCTGTGCACTTCGCAACTGTCGCCACTTTCGCTGGGTTCTGAACGGCACGGCGGGGTCGGAGACCACGCGCAGTCAGACGAAGCCTCGCTGCTCCTTGGGCGGCTGCGAGCTGCGCAACTCGTGCCACGTTCGTGGGCTCCTGGGAGGTGCAGCGGAATCTGGAGCCACAAGCACCTAGACGAGACATCGCTGCTCGCTGGGGGATGCGACCTGCGCAAGTGTCGCCACGTTCGTGAGCTCCTGGGAGGCACAGCGGGGTAGAAGGGTAGACAGATCCAGACTCGCCCTCGCAACTCCCTGGGTGGTTGCGAACTCCGCAACTGTCACTTGTTTCGTGGGTTCCTGGGAGGTCCAGCGGAGTTGGGGGCCACGCGCACCCTAACTAGACCTCACTGCTCCCTCGGTGGCTGCGCACTGCGGAGAAAAGGCTGGGCATGTCTCGGGACATTGTTTTTGATGGTCTGCATCCGCGTTGTTGTTTCGTTGACGTGTTCGATCGCTCCGTCCAGGCGGAAGCCGTCAGGCAGGGGCACAAGGATACAAGTCATCATCCTGCTGCCAACGCGGCCCTCTCAACTGATCGTGTTGCCCACACGCGCTGATCCCATCGTTGGAGCTGGCCGTCCCTCCTCCTCCTCCTCCTCCTTCGCGCGAGCGAGGGGAAAGGATAAGAGGGGGAGGACGGAAGACGGGCGAGGAGTGAGGGAAGGCGGGCGGAGGAAGAAAGGAGGCAGAGAGAAGGAACGGGGGATGACGAAAGGATGGATCAGAGGAGGAGGAGGAGGAAGCACGATGACGAGCCAGTGCGACTACCTGACGAGGACCGCGATGATTCAGTCTCCTGGCGACACGCACCAGCACGGGCCCGCTGCCCAGAAACGCTCCCGTACTAGACGGACGGCTTGAACTCCGCAACGCACCTCGACAACCATTGCGGGCACTCCGTCAGTCATCCAGGTCAGCTTCAGCAGACGAAGTGCTTCAAGAAGTCCGCGCGCCGCCGACGGAGCGAAGTCCGTCACTCCCAGTAGCGTTCAATCGAGCAGGGTGTTTGCTTTAGCCAGGCATGTTCTTCAACAGGTTCCCCTGTCAGCGCCAAGACGAAAGGGAGGGAGGTCAAGAGCAAGAGGGCGTGGCCGACGGCGATGGTCCGCTCCAACAACAGACCGTGGACCTCCGAACTTTATCGCCAACACCCTCAACTCGACCATCATGCAAAACAAACGATGGAAATCGGAGTCGTAGCGAGGATCCGTGCCCGCACGACCAGGATCAGAATCACCACGGGGATCCACGCCCGCTGCTTGACTTCCCACTGTACCAACAACGGTTTTACCAGCGTCAACGCCAAACACACTCAGAAGAGCACCACCAAGAAGAGAACCACCATGCTCCAATCGAAGATCGCAACAACCACTTTCAAGATAAAGAAAACGCGACTCACCGCGAAAAGCATTCGCAACGCGTCTTGCAAATTGTGTTGTCTTGTGTTTCCTCACGAGGCCAATCATGAGCAGCGCCAGGATCGTGCACCCGAAGTACATGCAACAACGTGTCACACACCTCCTCCAACGTTTGAGGGAAATACTGCGAAGGGCCAGCGACAGCCCGGCCCACACTGTCAGGAGCATGGCCAGAACGAGAGATCGGAACCCCACCACTGAACGGAACCCCACCACTGAACGGAAACTACGGGATGCCAGGGCACAGTTCAGCAGGCGACGGGCAACCTCCATCACCATGGCGCCGAAGTACTTTGAGAAGAGGGCCGCCCCCGCCAACTCGGCGTGCCCCACCGGTACTCCACAGGTCTTCTCCGTCTGCCGCCCAGGGATCGCCGTGCTCTGGCCGCTCGCGGTGCGGTCGTCGTGCCCCGAGGTCTGCAGCACGCCGATCGCCGTCAGGGTCACCATCGTCATCACCGCCTGGAGGCGGGGGCACCGTGGTCAAGGAGGGCTCCTTGACTTGAGGCCTCCTAGATGGGATCGGAGTAGATGGGGTCGGAGGATCGCACCGCATCGCCGATACATTGGCGATACATCGCCAATGCATCGCCGATGCATTGGCGCCATCGGCGATGCATCGGCGACTCCAGCGTGGAGAAAATCGGCCTCCACATCGAGCCGCATCGCCAATACATCGACGATACGGCGCGATCCTCCGACCCCACCTGCTCGGACCCCATCTGAGAGGCCTAGATTGCCCACCATGATGAGCAGCCTCCACCATGAGATCAACCCCCGAGCGAAAGCCAAAACGGCGATGCCCGCGGTCCGCCACGTGGCAGGTCTGTGGCCGTGAGGAGCCACCGCAGCGTCTCGGCACTGAACGCCTGAGACTGTCCCGGGATCGTCACCTCGGGACAGACGTGCACCGTGACCACTCGGTGCAACCCGGGGGTGCGCGGCGGAGGTGACGACCAGCCTGACCCCCGAAGCCTGCTCCAGCAGCCCCCGGAGGCACAGGATGCGGGCCTGCACCACCATCCATCGCAGCAGAGCCCGGCAATGGGGAGGGAACGCAAGTGCGCAGAGAAGCCCCCTGCTCAGCCAATCCGCTCAGGGTGAGGGAGATGAGGAGGAGGGAGAGCGGAGGAGTGTGGAGGGAAGGAGGGTGGAGGAGGGAGAGTGGAGGAGGGAGAGTGGAGGGTGGAGGAGGGAGAGTGGAGGAGGGAGAGTGGAGGAGGGTGGAGGAGGGAAGGAGGGGAGGGAGCCAAAGGGGGGGGCGAAAGGAGGGCTGGGGCAGAACACTATAGGGGAGGAAGCTTCGCAGCGAGCCGCCAGGCTCGCGACCACGTGCGGCCCGGCGCCCAGCGGGTGCATCGCCTCCGCCACGCCCCGCGGGCGGCGGGCGACTCGACGGCACGCCTGGCGGGCGGCGCTGCCGCCGCCGCCGGCGGAGCTCGTCGGCGCGGTGGGTGCCGCCGCCGCCGTCGGCGGCGCGGTGATGCACGGCGGGCGACGCCGACCCAGCGATGACGGCGATGACGTCGACTGCGGTAGCGTCGCTCGTCGAGCGTCGCGCAGGCCCGTCGCGCCGTCGTGGTCGTCGTGAGGGTCATGGCCGTGGTCGTGGTCGTCGATGTCGACGATGTCGACGTCGTCGTCGTCGTCGTCGTCGCCGTCGTCGTCGTCGTCGTCGTCGTCGTCGCCGTCGACTGTGCTGCCGCTGGCGGCTGCGTCGGCGTTGGCCCCCCTCGACCGCCCCCCCTCCCCCCTGCCGGTGCTGCCACGAGGTGCCCTGGGCACAGGGTGTCCCGAGGACTTCCGAGGAGGCCCCCCACGGCCTCCAGAGCACGCCTCACGAGGCACAGGGGGCCCCAGCGCTGGGACCCCAAAACGGCGCGGGGACCTACGGACACCCTGGGCCATGAATAAAGGCCTCCTAGATGGGGTCGGAGTAGATGGGGGTCGGAGGATCGCGCCGCATCGCCGACGCATCGGCGATGCATCGGCGACGTCGACGTGAAGCCAGTCGGGCTCCACATCGAGCCGCATCGCCGATGCACCGGCGATGCGGCTCGATCCTCCGACCCCATCTACTCCGACCCCATCTCGGAGGCCTAGAATGAAAATCTGTTGCAAGCCCCGACTCTCGCCTGCTCCACCGGGGGTGCTCGAGATTCCACGGGGGGCCCTCGCACACCTGCCCTGCACGGGCAGACCGTCAGGCAAGGGCGCCCCATCACCAATGGCAATTGGAGGGGGCGGAGCCAACCTCGTCGTCCCACCGTTCTCGTCGTTGTGGTCCTCTTCCTCCTCCTCATCCGCCTCTTCGTCATCGTCCTCCTCCTTATCGTCCTCGTCCCCGTCCCCGCCCTCGCCGTCGTCCGACCAAAGTCCGCTCAGAATCACCCCCCCGAGACCCCTGTGGACCGTCCTGTGTCCTCGAGCTGCGTCCAGCTGTGGCGACGAGAACCTCCAAAAACGCCAGAGAAACTCCGCAGCGAAACCGTTGTCGCCGTCGCGGGCGCCTCCAGAAGCCCAGGAAGGCTCAAGAACGCCCAGAGACGGGCAGAACACCTTTGTGGGCCCCGGAAACGGCAGGGCCGTTTTTTCACCGTTTCCAAAAAAATGTCCATTGAAAATGGAAACGGCAAAAAACGGCGACCGGAAACGGAAAAAAAGCGGCTCCAGGATCGGAACCGGAGCCGGAACTGGTAAAAAAACGGCGACGGAACCGGCAACAAAAACGGCGTCGGAACCGGCAAAAAACGGCAAAACGGAAAATAACGGCGTCGGAACCGGCAAAAAACGGTAAAACGGAACCGGTAAAAAAGCGGCCCTGCCGTTTCCAGGGTCCACGAAAGGCAGAACTCATCGTCGCTCTCCTTGCCGCCGCCACCGCCTCCGCCATCGCGGGTCGGCAGAGCCACCGCCGCGGCTGCCCGACGTCCTCGTCACCGGCGGCCGCGTCGGCGCCGCGGCCGCGGCTGCGTGGGCCGCCGTCGCGGCGCCCGGCCCTGGAGCCTGGCCCCCTCAACCTCTTCGCGCGGTGCGCCCTGTGGCGCCGGCCTGGGCGCCCCCTCCCAAGTTTTTTTTTATAAAAAAAAACAAAAACAAATAATAATAATAACAATTATAATAACAATAATAATAGTACTAATAATAATACTAATAATAATAATAAATAGTATTAATAATAATATATAAAAAACAAAGAGAGAATAATATGAAGGACAGCTTCATTGGAAAGTTTTTGATTTGGGAGTTTGCGCACTGTACTGCACGCCCTGGGGCGTGCATTTCATTTTACTGCACGCCCTGGGGCGTGGTGGGGTCGCCAGGGGCCTTTGGCGGCCCTTTGGGCGGGCCTTCGGAGGCCCTCCGAATCTCGCACGCGGCCGGCGCCCCGGGGGTCCGTTGGGGCCCCCTGGTGGCGCAGACGCCACGCGTGTGGGCGAGGCTGCGCTACAGTCATCGCGATGCGAGCTGCCGTAAGGCACGCTGGACGAGGAAAGAAGGGGCGCATGCGGCCATGAGAAGCCTCGGCCACGAAAAAGCCCCCCGACACAGATCTGAGGAGCGGCCCAAAAACTGGAACCCCTGCTGAACCCCAAATGGGCATCATTTGAACGTCTGGCAGTATTGGCAAAAGGCTGCGAACCCCATGGTGAGGGGAGGGGGGTGGAGGGAGAACCAGGACGCGCGGTGCCGTCATACTGGTGGCTCTCACGGGCCTGGAGCTTTGTCAGAAGTGCAAGTGGTCGAGGACTCAATCTTCCCCCCAGCTATCCCGCGCTATCCCCCTGGTCCGGGGAGCAAGGGGAGGAGCCTGCCATTCTGCCTGCGCCATGCCATGATATCTCCAGCCTCACCGAACAAGGTGGGAGAGACCGTGCGGCGGGGGGGGGGGCAGAGCGTTCACGCTCATCGTGCAAGAACGCCCTTCCGCAGCTTCCCTTGGAAGCACGGGGAAGGACGCTGGAGTGCTGGAGTGTTGGGGGTGTCTCTCTGGGGAGCGGCCTCCGCGCACGGCTGTGGCCCGCCCCACACACAGGTGGACATCGTGGAGGAGCCGAGGCGTGATGGAAGGGGGATGGCAGCGACCTGGGACAAGTGGATCTCAAGAAGACCCTCGGGGAATCTGGACGCTTCCAGGGGCCTCCGAGAATGAAGACGAAACGGGGGGGAAGGGGGCCAGCGGAAGGAGCGGGCACTCCCGACCCCCCTCTTCCGCACCGCGAGCACCGCGGCCTTCTCAGAGCGCTCCGGAACGCTTCGAGAGCGTTCCGGACGGCTCTGGGACGGAATTATCCTTGTCCTAGCCCCGTCCGAGTACGGCAGGTTCGTGTCGTGACGGCCCCAGCGTTGGTTCCTGACACCGCGGGGGTCGTTCAACCTGGAACGATCGGGGGCTTCCGAAACGTCGGATCGCACAACATCGGCCCATTCTGGGCCGCCACTGGAGCTCAACGTTGAACGCGACTCGGCGGGGTCGCCGCCGGTCGATACGACACGAGCCTAACCCTGTGGCCCTGATAATAATCCCTGGGGCATAGTATTTCCCAACCATCCTGTGGTCTTGTGCCCTTGTTTTGAAGATACAGCGCCCCGCGTTCCTGCTCCGCCTCCTCCTGTCCCTCCTCCTCCCTCAAGTCCCTGCCTATGCTATTCGACTCTGTTTTTTGAATGCCAGCATATCCTTCTTCATCATCAGCATCATCATCACCATCATCATCATCATCACCATCATCATCGTCATCATCATCATCGTCGTCGTCATCGTTAGCATCACCATCATCATCATCATCATCATCATCATCATCAGCATCATCATCATCATCATCATCATCATCGTCAGCATCATCATCATCATCATCATCATCATCGTCATCATCATCATATCATCAGCATCGGCATCATCATCAGCATCCTCATCAGTATCATCGTCACATTCAACATCACATTCATCAGCATCATCATAATTGTCATCGTGTTCGTCGTTACTGTCATCGTCGTCATCCTCATCATCAGTATCATCATCAACATGATCATCATCCTCATCATCAGTATCATCATCATCATCATCAACATCATCATCATCATCATCAAGCATCATTGCAATCATCACCATACTCAGTATCATTCATACCCGTTCCATCTCCATCACCATCACGATCACCATCGCCATCCTCATCCTCATCCGCATCATCATTATCATCCTCATCATCATCATCTTCATCCGCGTCATTATCTGTATCGGCTTCCTCATCCGCATCCTCATCCTCAGCATCACCATCATCATCATCAATACCACCATCATCATCATCATCATCATCATCATCATCATCATCATCATCATCTGCATCATCATCATCATCAACATCATCATCAGTATCATCACCATCACCATCATCGTCATCATCATCATCATCATCAACATCATCATCATCATCATCACCGTCATCATCATCAGCATCAGCATCATCGTCAGCAGCATCAATATGGCACACCCCTCACACGTTGCGTGGCCCCATGGGGAGCTCCACCGAAGGCCACAGTGGCGTCGCGGCACACCCCTCACGAGGATTGTGGCCCCTTTAATATAATGGGGGCTCCGCCGACGGTCCCAGGGTCGACGCCCGCATGCGCCCGACCCTCTGAATTCGGCACACCCCTCACGAGGATCGTGGCCCCATACGGAGCTCCACCGAAAGTTACAGGGGGCGCCGCCCGCAAGCGTCCGACCCACCCTCTCCGGCAAACCCCTCACAAGGATCGCGGCCACATAGACGGGGCTCCACCGAAGGTCCCAGGGGCGCCGCCCGCATGGGCCCGTCACACTCATTTCGGCACACCCCTCACGAGAATCGCGGCCACATAAACAGTTTCACCGAAGGTCTCAGGGGCGCCGCCCGCATGCGTATGACCCACCGATTTCGGCACACCCATCACGAGGATCGTGATCTCATAGATAGGCTCTACCGAAGGTCCTAAGGGCACCACCCGCGCGCGTCCGACCCACCAAATTCGGCACACCCCGCAAACGCTCCGCTGCCACATAAGGGGGCTCCACCGAAGGTCCCTGCGGCCGTCCTCGCACGAGCCTCCCCCGCCGATTTCGGGCCCATGGGTCAGTGGCGCAGCCCGCATGCGCCCGACCCTCTGAATTCGGCACACCCCTCACGAGGATCGTGGCCCCTTAAAGAGCTCCGCCGAAGGTTGCAACGGACGCCGCCCGCATGCGTCCGACCCACCCATGTCGGCACAACCCTCACAAGGATCGCGGCCACATGGGGGGGGGCTCCACCGAAAGCCCCAGGGGCGCCGCCAGCATGCGTCCGAACCATCTACTTCGGCACAACCATCACGAGGATCGCGGCCTCATGTGAAGGCTAAATCGGAGGTCCCAAGGGCGCCGCCCG